TAACAATGCAAACAATAACAGATAACATCTATGCACATGAGAAACACAAAACACAAGTAAATACCACATGTTAAATGAAAATACCACATCATCTTTAGGCATTGTTAAAGAAAACAACCTAAATCTGGTATAGATAACCGAAATGGAACATGGGGTATAGGAGAAAGAGACAGAGTTCAAATTGTGTGCATGCACAACTTTACTGAAATCTCACTGCAGCCAAAACCACAAGCCCGTTTTTGGTTATAGCATGCTTATTTCCACTGAACTACCCAAAATAAAGTCGAAGATTCCCAGCCCCATTACTTCTGATTGTGAGGACAGCAAAGCCCAAGGATAACTGAAAATGCTGGGCATTGAGAGGTAAGAAAGTTAGACTCTTGATGAAGGAATGTATCATTGGCCTTGCCCTTCGGCATTGCGCAGGGTTAAGTCACTTTTTTAAAGCATATATAGGCTTTGAGAGGGAGCACTGTCTTCTTTAAAAGGCACCTTGAAGACAACCTGATAGAGGGAAGTCGATGAAATGAAGGCTTCTTTAGGGGATAACAGAACCAATCACCAAGGGCTTCACGCTGTTTATCTCAACTGATCTCTAATTTTCTGTCTGTCTGTAGTCATCATTGCGGTAACATTAATAGCAACAGAATCTATCTTAAAAGGCTTCCTGTGCCGTACCTTTACTAAATTCAGCTTTCATTTTTGACAGTCTCTTTAATTGGGGGACATATATATCTTGAGAAAAAATGCCATCAAAGAACCTGTCCATGGTTAGACATCTGCCTTCTATGTTCATCTGCACTTACACCACCAACCTCAGAATGAACGGCACAATGATCTGCTCCCTCAGCTGGGGGTATATCTTGCAAGTTGAGGAGACTTGGTTGGTACAGTAAGTACTTGAAATATTTAAAGCCTATGATGCTATTAAAAATAAGCACATTTGAATCATAAAAATGGAAAAATAGTATCAAAATCATAACTTCTGGATTGTTCTATTTGGGCTGCTTTACTCTCTTAGATCCACAAAGTTTAAAGAGAAGACCAGAAAGACAACTACATGGGGAATGGCCCAATTAGATAATTTCATTTTTAATAATTAAAATAATCATTCAGAAAAATTAATGCTCCAGAAGATTAAGAAACTTGCACCCTCAAAGTCCTAACATACAGTAACAGAAATGTGTATGCTGGACTCATATGCCATCAATTATACTAAATAACAATAAAATGTAAATTAAGTTGAACCTCTTTGCTACTTAATGACAGTTAAAATCGTTGATTCAGAAAAATACACAATTTAGTTTACTTATTTTGGCACCACGCAAGTATATAATTTGTTGCTATAATGTATTTCACAACCAAAGTACACTATCAAAATAGTTCAAATATCATCTGTACAATAACTTGTGCAACAAATTACTAAAATAATGATTTTACTTTTTAATATAAATTACACAATTGCGAGTAATGCTCATAGTTTCATAAAAATGTATTTTCTGTAATTTAACATTCAAACTTTTACTGCCAACATTTAAAGAAGGAAAAAAACAAGTAATTTCCGTATTTATGATAGCAACTTATTACTTAAAATTCTGTTGAATACAGATAATCTTCAAATAGCCCCTATAATCTGGTTGCAGTAATTATAATATATTAGTGAAACAGGAAACCACAAGGCAATAAAAAGCTATTTAACCTTTACTCCTGTTCAAATAACTTACTTATTGGACTTTTAGTTATCTTTCATTCTCAATGTGTATAAATGATACATTTTAATGACAAAGGGAATTCATACTCAAAGAAATGACAGTATGTCGTATTGTAATTTATGATTCAAAATTGCTTCCAAAAGCCAAAAAGTTAATGTACTTAAGAAACACTATCTAAAGGCATATAAATTAGAAATGTATTATGACAATAACATTTTTTCTCACCTTGAAGTCATTTAATTTCTGGTTCAGTTTTGATCTTCTTAAACCATTATTTCGATGCCCCCAAACTACATTCATGGGCTCTTTAAAACTGTCCAAGAAATGTAGCAGAGAGGGAAAAATTGGCTTACTTTTAGAATGAATAATTTAAAATAGGCCTATAAAGCAGTTTGAGAAGCCTAAAATGATATGGTCTCTCAGCTTTCAACATAAGAGGGAATTAAAAGGTAAATTAAGTAGCACAAACACTTATAGCTTCTTGGTTAACTATTTAAGCACAAAGATACGTTATGATATCTTTGTTCAAATACACTGGCTTCCTTTCTCAAGTTGTATGATAATATAGCAAGCACATCAGGTATAGAAGATTTAACTGAGTGGTGAAAAACTGCATCATCAAGGGGAGGTAGGATAACTAAGAAGGCTTCCCCAAGATTCTGACATTGACTGGTGGACATTACAGCAAAGTAGTGCACGGGACAGAATGGGGGCTATGCAACCAGCTCTGGTTCTGCATCATGGGAGCTTTGTTACCTTAGGCAGTCCAGTAATTTCCTTTGATTGTTTCTATAAAACAAGGATAATACAACCCTCCATGACTGTGTGCATACTATAATCATGTGGCATGCATGCAGAGTAGGCACTCAGTAAATGCTGTGTGAATGCTGAAGTGCCTGTGGAGCTAAGTGGTTAAGGACAAGGGCTCTGGAGGGAGGCTTGTGTCTCTCTGTCTAGTTCTGTATTCTACTATTTACCAAATGAATGACTGGTAAGGAGTCAAGTGTTCTATCTTTCTAAATTCTAGCTTTTTTGTTGGAAGTGAGGGCATTAAGTCTCTGGATCTAGTGAAGTTGAGATTATATATATATATATATATACACACATATATATGTATATGTCATGTCATTGACACATAAGTAGTAACTGTTCAATAAATTCATCTGCCATTAATAATGCTAGTAGTGCTTTATATTTCTGTAATGTACCTTCTGTACCTTAGAAACATATTTAGAGTTCATCAAAAACAAACTCTAATGAGCCTTGTAGCCTGTCTAGTCAGCCAGGATGGTGTATTCCACTCCTCAATTACCCAGGGAATGGTCACTCAGGAAAATCTGAATTCTCCAACATGAGAGATCCCAGACACGTGGAACTTTAGCTCACAGCAGAATTTCTGGGTTGTGAAATCTTTTCATTCTTTTGGAATGTGTGAGCCTGAAATCTGACTTTAAACAAATTAATTTGACTCTGTTTTTGCTGGCTTTAAGAGCCCCTTTGGTGGCTGAAGCTACCTTAAGTGCCAGAGGAAGGCTACAGCATCTTCTGCAGCTCTCTGGCTTGCTGGATGCACCTGGGCAGGAGTTTCTCAGGTTGCTTCCTGTTATGGAGTCTACTCAGTGAGACATTTTTATGTTGTCTCAAGGAAGACATTCCAGGGTGAGGACACTTCTCAGCCAGGATCCACTGGTCTTATAAAAATGTAACAACTTGGTGTGCTCTGTTGGGTCATGAGTGTATATTCCTCATGCAGACTTTGGGTTATGGTACTCTGGGATTCTTTTGTTTTTGTTTTAGCTTTGATGATCTAATTACAGCTTTTGGCTAATAATATATGTGGAAGAGCTCTAATATTTAAATTAGATACATGCATTAGGATATGGTCCATTTCCAACATAGAATTCCAATGTTTTTCACTCTAAAAAGTATCTTGCCAACCCAACTAAGTTCTTCTGTCTCAAAGTAGAAATTAATTGACAATTTTTTTGGTACTGAAACGAAAGTTGTATTCTGATATCTAAATTAAAAATGTAGGATGTCCACAAATGTATGTAAAGTATAGGAATCAAAACATCTAGATCTCATTGAATAATATTTTATTAGTATCAATTTTTGACTCAATTGTCAGATATCATGCCACAGTGGTATGCTCTGTGCTAAAATATAAACATATTTTTGTAAATTCAGACTAAAATATTTAATTAAATATTCCCCATTTTCTCTTCAATTCTGAGATGGATAACTTACTCAAATATACTGGACATTAGGATAATATATTTGGGTTTTGTGTATTAAAATAGATACAGCAACATGTAACAGAAGGAGTTCAACATTAAGAGGGCTAGGTTTGTAGTCTACTACTGATCAGCCCTGTGAACAGGAATGGCTCTCAGTGTCACTCAACTTTAGATTCCTCATTCATAAAATAGGGATGATGCTGTTTTCAGGTCTAACTTTGAGGGTTACTACTAGCAACAAATGAACTCAATCACTGGCAATAAATGAACTCAATCATTAATCCATTTTCAAATATGGAGTAAATGTAGTTTTATCAAACCATACAGCATAATAAAATGTTAAGTATTAGTAATACCATTATTATATTATAGTGAAAACTCATGTTCAAATCTTTATCATTATCAAGGCTCCACTCACACTAAATAGGAAACAGCAGGTGTGAAGTGAGGCCTGCTACCTGCTTGAAGCTTAAGTGCAAACACTGAAAGTAAAACGTAATAAGAAGACAGTAAAGAGGAATTCAGTCATTTGCCAATAGAGTAATCTGAATGGTTTTTCTTCCCTATTTCTCTCAGGAAAACAGTACTGATGAGGCTTATACAATGCTGAGGCCTAAGGGAGTCACGGCCCTTTCCTAGATGCACGACAGCAGTGGAAATTTGGACACTCACTGAAGTGATTCCTATCTGGAAAGTAAAATCCAGGGATTTTCTGTTTCTTTACACCAGGTATTACCCTGAATAGAGGTAAGAATTAAATCTTCTGGCTATGTGAGCAGGAAAAATAAATTATTATTTTCCAAAGAGAATTGTTTTCTAGCTGTCAGTGGGTACTAATAATTTGAGGCAAAATTATTCTTAATTTTTTAATGTTTCTTTCTCTTTAATGTGAGTTGCACTTAATATGAAAGTACTAAAATAAAAGGCCCTACAAAAGTATTTTAGGGAAATAACTACCTGTTAAATAATTTCATTCATCAGTTCAATAAACCCAATTACATAATTCATTATGCTATAAAAGTAGCAATATTAAAGTTACATTAATATTTACCTTTTGTGGAAGAGTTATATTTGTCTTGTTCTTCAATGAATTAAATGCACATAATGATGGAAACAAAAGAAAGAAATCAGCAAATTTGTAGTTAGACACAGAAATGTAAATTAACACAATGGTATGAATAATAAAAATGCATAACATATAACGTGACATGATAAACTGCAATGACAAACCATGAGGAAGTCTCAAATATGGTACTAAAATTAATCAAAGAAAGAATGAATACAAGCAATTTAAAGATTTTAACTTAAATCCATCTTGATTTTTATTGTAAATGTATTTAAAACTTTCTTAGTATTAACAAAAATCTTATTGTTTCAAAATGATATTAAATCAGGTGATTTGAAATGCATGATAAATGAAAAAATAGAATTATATGTTTTACTAAGTAGTTAGCATTTTATGTAAACTGCAGAAAGCATTTTGTAACATTTTACATATGGGAAAAATGTATTCTAATTTAAATAATCCTTTTGTCCCTCTCTAATTATATGGAAATGCCCCAAAGTAAAATTACTTGCTTTTTGGAGATTTTCTTAGACATTTATATGTACTTCCTTGTGGTTGTATTACTTACTGAGAAATAACATGGCCTTTCCAGATATTCTTGAAAGGGAATATCATTAGCGTTTGAGGTAGCAGAAATAATAAGGGAACATATAAAACATAACTGGCATGTCCTAAGTGTTGGCTTAAAACACTTAGTTTAAAATACTTCTTAAAATATGACTTTGGGTTGAACATACACACAAAAATCACTTGGTTGGTTTCAGAAAATCATACATTTCTATACATGATTTTAGGCTGCCTTTATTCTGACCCTGTACAAGGACTACATTGAAATAAAATGTCAAAATATAAACAGAGAAATCTCGTGGAAATCACTGTTCTCAATCATCACATACCCAAATGATAAAGTTATCTTATCAATAATTGAATCACAAAATCTGTACTGCAATCACATCTTTGTTTCTCCTCAAAGTCTACTTTCCCGTAATTATAATCAGACCCTACGTACCAATCAGGCTAGAATTCTCAGTTAAAAAAAAAAATAAATAAAACCACTTTACCTTTTCAAAAATTAAGTAAACATACCTTTTCAAATGGCATGTTAACTTTTAAAATAAGCCACATTTCTTTTATACAATAAATACAGTATTAACTGTGATTTTCAAAACAAAACCATTCACCCAGTCAAATCGTTCTTGTATCCATACCAAAAGCCATAATGTAAGTAAATGCACCCAGAAATTATACAAACAGAATGACTGTATAAGTGCATTAAGAAGTTGCAACCACTTGAAATATTTGTTCTTACCAATCAGCTGTTTATCTCTTCAACTAGTTTCTTTAAAAAAACAAAACTATCTCTTTTCTTAAAAGTAAAAAAAAAGACTATAAGAAAGTCAAATTCAGAGAATGCTTTAACAAATCAAAATAAACTCTAATTTATAGAAGACAGAATAAAGTTTAACAAACAATGCCAAAAGAAAAAAAGTATTCCATAGACTTAAGAACAACAGTGAAGTCAATCCTAAAAATAATGTGCTAAATTCTATCTAGTTCATGAAAAAAAAATCAGAAACTGCTTTCAAAAAGTATGTTAGTACATACATAACTGTCCTGTGAAATTTTTAGTTTTAAAATGATCTTTAATAAGGTGATGGTATATAGTATCATTATTTACCAAAAAGTCCCAAAGCACATATTAACATCATAAAATACAGCAGACCTATTTTGCTGATAGAAGAACAAGTATAGTACACAATTATTGTCACTTTTTAAAAAGCTGCATTTATATGTCTCTTAAGATCATATTTCAAGAACCTCAAAGTGTTAACTAATGTATTTGTGATATTTAGTATCAAAATAAGTTCATCAGTATTATTCTCAGTCATTTCTTCTTCCCACCTGAATTCAAACCTTAAAAATTGATGCTTTCTGTGAAAGACAACTGTGAATATGAATATCATAAACAATGACATTGATATAACAATACAACATGAGCTTTGAAAAATCAAAATCCAACATACAACTCAACTGATTCTGGAAAAACAATTCTTAATTCTACAGAAATAATATAACTATAATCTCACCATGTGAGAATTAAATACAGTACCCCCACTATATGCAGAATCCCTAGAGTGTTTTATTTGCAACTAGAGGAAATGCAAAGAATTTTAGGAGCACATGACTTTTTGAATATCAATCTTTAGCAAAATATGCAACCGTGTTTGTTGCTAAACACCAAAATTTGTAGTCTTTCAGTTGTGCAACAGGAGTTTATGAACGGATAATTTAAATAAACACCAAGTTTTATTTTTAAAAAGTAAATTTTAAAACAATTCATCTGACTTACTGCTAACTAGAATTTCAATAACAAATAATCTTCTCAAAATGTTCCCCCAAAAGAGAAAAGAATGCTTGTTAAAACATGAGAAATGATAATTCCAACAAATTAACAGCTATTTTAGAAAAGAAAGATTTTCATAAGGCATCATATTTTTCTGATTAACTAAATGGAAGTCCTTATAACAATCCTGAAAATTAAAGCACGACATATCAACAGGATGTATGACTGAAACAAATCTAGAGTTCTCTGCACCAATATTACTCTTTTAATCAGTTGACACCTCTTAGTTTCTCCACTAGTTTTTCTATAATCAAATACTCTGCATGGCAAAACTATGCTATCAGTCTTTGATACAAGGCACACATCTTAGATTGTAACATTCCTGTGACACATTCAGTAACACACTTCAATTCAGTGAGAAAACATTTACCCAGAACTCTCAATATAGAATGAAATGCAAGTTTTACATCAGCAACGATCGACACTGTTGGAAAAAATATTCAAAATGTTAACTCTTCAGTTATTTGATAGAGATGAAGATTTTTTGATATATCTTTTAAGCAGAAGTCCAGTGCATTTATACTACAATTTCTTCAAATTAGAAATTATTTCATAAATCAACAAATCCCTGATAAGAAATACATGGTAATAAATACTGATAACCAATCAATTCACCTCCTGAGAAAAGGGACAGCACCATAGGTCACATAAAGAATACTGATATTTTTAAGCCGATATTTAACTCATCCTTGTTAGTTTAGAAAATTTAGTTTCTATTATCAGATAGCTTTTCATGTCTCTCATTCTCATTCTCTCTCTCTCTCTCGCGCTCATCCTCTTCTCTCCTTTTCAAAGCACAATGTAAATATGGTTAAAATAATATAATCTTTAAGCAAACTGAACTTTGAAAAAGACGCTAAAATATGTGCCTCATTTCATTTCTTTATCATTTTTTACTATCATTAAACTTCTGCAAAAAATACAGACCATTGCTAACCAAGTTAAAATAAGACACTAATAAAGAATTCAATATTGTCAAGTGTTTCATTTTGTTTTAAAAGTTTTAAAAATCTGATAAAAATAAGTCTTCTTATAACACATAAAAATATCAACATTATACTGTGTTCTTTAAAAATGTATTTCTTTGTAAAAAATGTGTTTCTAGGTCTTCATTCATTCTGTTAAATAACCATCCAAAATTCATTCATTCACTCACTCAGCAAAAACTGAATGTATGCTCTGAACTACTAATAACTAGGTACTGGGGATAAAATTCTAAAAAAAAAAAAATTAAATTCTTAGGATCCAATAAATCACTTATCATCAAAATACTACTCATTTAATAAAAGACATAAAAGAAAGACATTCTAAACAACCAAGATTTTTGGATAATGATCTCTCTTGATCGGATACCTTGTTCTATACTGCTGCTTCGCACTGGCACTTGCGGGAGCTGTCTTCCCCTGCGGTTACTGAAAGACACGTCTGCCGGGGGAGACTGGGTTGGACTTCCTTGTCGGTGCATTCTGCGGGTTAAAAAGCAAAAAGGCGGATGGAACGATGAGACTCCAATATGGCTTGACAGAAGTGTTTTATTTCTTCCTCTTACTACTAAACCATAAAACCCTCTAATAAGGTCTTTGGGAGCAAAAAATTTTAAATGTTCTAAATTTTAAAAAATTATTGAAACTTTTTTAAAACTGAGATTTTGCAAAAGAATATTATACAAAGGAACTAGAGAGGTAAGGCAATGTCTGCCACACACAGTTGTGCATAATGAATTCCCAAACTGAACTGCATCCTACTCACTCCCTTTCATTAATTTTTTTAGGAAGCTGTGCTTTCTAGGCAAGTTATTCCTTTTTCACTGTGGTTGAACCAAATGTATCTAATGACAGCTCTGGATCTTAATAATACGGATCAACCAGTTCAGAAAGGCTGTTGCCAAAATTGCTACTATTAAATCAATATATATGTTCCAGTATTATTTACAACTAGGAAGAATAATTCTAGCTGCAGACTTTTATAAATTACCACTCACTTGTACTTTATTTTTAAATAGGAAAAACTTTGAGCTACATTTAAAATAACCTTGGACAGATGCTATAAAATACACTGATGCAAGGATAGAAAGTACAAATTAACATCTGATACACATGCAGATATATTACTGCTACCCAGGCTTAAGCTGATTGCTATCTTCTGGCCTTCGAGTAGCTTTTTCTAATATAGAAATTTAATACATTCTAAGATTTTACTAACCTCATATAAAATGATTTTTTTAAAAAAATTCCTCATACGCTTTTTAAAGTAAATACATATTGAATTCCAGATAATTTATTATAGAAATTTAACATCATTTAAAAATTATATATGAGTATGCCACAAACAGATGAAAGGACAGAACACAGCCAAATTTCATCTCCAATGATAGCTTATTGGCAAGAGCTGTAGAAAACCACCAGCACAGTAAAGGTATATGCAAGTGAAAGAGAAATGTAGGAGAGGCTTAAGTGCCACAAAGAAAGAATTAAAAAAGTATGGTGTCATAATGAGTGGAAGCTTCGAGTGCTCAGGAATGTACAACACCACACCGACACCCGGCAGGACACGAATGCTGAGCTGGACACTGAGTAGCGACCTTGTCAGGAGCGGTGAAGGCGGCGCCGACCCTCCGGGGGCAAGGTGGTGCATAGAACACAGTGTTCTGACACTAGAGTGCTCGCTCGACCTGGAGCGAGCAGGGTGCTTTCCCCTAATGCCTGGTTGATCAGCTGTTCTTGGGGCTGCGTGTCCCCTTCTAGAAAGACAGGGTGGGAGAACCCTAAAACATTAGGGCCAAAAAAGATCTTCAGTCAGCAGGTTTACATGCATTTTGATACCAACACATTTGTCCAAGGAAAAAACCTGTTTACTCTAACAAGAAACCCCACCACACAAATACTTAAATGGAATTCAAATACAACTGACAAGTTGCTATTGCCAATGTGACTCACCATGCTTTATTTTTTAAGGGCTAGTGTAGTTTACACCAATGTAATAAACCTCTTATTGTGTTCCACAAGCTCTAAAAATACAGCCTCTTGTTTTTCCTGAGCTCTTGCTCCAGGGTGTAGAACCGAGAACAAGGGTGCAATAAAGATATGGTGGCTGACTGAATGTGTAAAATCAGATTGATGAATGCAGGGATATTCCAAGGACCTGCCTTCAAGAAGAAACGATGCACTGTAGCACTCTGTGCAGGTTTTTATAATGCTCACAATTTTACTCTGCAGTAAACAAGTCTATGCCAAATAGATGGAAAAGCAGAAGGACTTTCAACGTTAATCGAAGCAGACAAAAAAATTAAAGTAATACAGTAAGATGGAGAATGCAATAATTATACAAGTGATTACTTCCAAATGAATTATACAGATACATAAAACCTGTCTACTTAGATATAAAAATTCTGAAAGCTGTTTGTCACCATATTGACAGTTATATTAATATGCTGTTCAAAATTACATGAAGCCTATTTATGAATTAAGGATTAAGAATTTAAAACATCTTCACGTGCATACTTGTTTAAAACAGATACATGCTTTTGCCATCATTTCTGTATATGTTTTAAATAAAATATGTATGATTAAAATATCCAGTATGTATTTGTTTGACAGAGGAATGAAATAACACTTCACCCTTTTCAGAGCATTGTGGTATAATTCACATATCAAGTAAATTAAAAATGTGTGAGAATAAGGAACATATCTTCATCCCTATAGGTATATCAACGAACACTTTGTTCAACATGCATGAGCTGACAATATTTCTTTTAACTGAAACTATTTTCACAGTCTTGATAATTCTAGTACAGGGCAGCTCCTCCATTTGAGAGTCATAAAATGGAAAAATGTTAGGTTGTAGAGAACAAGAAGGTACAGCAAAGGTCTTTAATAAATGTGTATTTTGTCTTCTTGAGCTATGGATTAATGCTTTATCAGACCCTAATTCAGACCCTGAAACCTGACTTGTTATTTCAGTTTCCAAATTAAAATAAAAAGGAACTGACACTATTCTATATATTAAAATGGTTCATTCTAAATTGACTTTTTGTATTAACTCAATTGGATAGAATTACTGTGTATGAAAAAGGTAATATGATCAAGTCCTCTCCAATGACAAAAAAGGATTTTTTCTTTAGTCTTTAAGAACATTAACATTAGAATAAACTTACTGGAGATATATGTTCTAAATGTGGATCAAAAATTGAATCATACAGTTTTCACCCTAGAAACTGAGTAATTTCATGGATATTGCAATTTCAATCTTGCTTCACTCCTTAATGCAATTCATAAGCACTAAAAGAACTTGAATGTTCCTTGAAATATTAACAATTTACGTAGATTTCATGTGGCAAAAACTAAATGGCAAGAGTATAAAAAGCGATTTAATGAGCAAATAAATGGCTTCCTACGTGAATATTACATAGCTCAAGAAATGCGACTTAGCTGTCCACGCTCTGCACTATAAGGGGGTTGGCAGAGGCTGTACGATTTGAGGTTCACCTTTTAGCAGAAGATCTGCTTTACTTTTGACATGAACTGAAAGTCCCTCAATCATGAAACAGTTTCTGGTACCAGCAGATCTGTAGCAAGCACGAGGACACACACAGAAAGAGAAAACCACGTTTCCTGAGGAAGAGAAAGGAACTGACAGCAAGGCTACATTACAGGAGGGAGTCCTGGGCAGAGGAAAAATGCTAGCTTGAGGAGAGAAGATCTAGCTTTTGCAGAGGAGAGATAATAGAGCCAAGCACAGCTCATTTTAGGCAAAAGGAAAGGATAATTAAATTCAGAAGTACAGGAGCATAAAGCTGAGAGAATCCAGGCTGTTGAGCCTTGATCTATTTAGTGAAATGCGATGTGCTAAGAATGTAAGGAGAATGAAAGAAAATAAGAACAATACTAGAGCACGGAAGTGGGTGTGAATGATAAATAAGGAAAATAATTGTTAAAACACTATTCTTTACTGACTATCAATACAGAGCCACCATCTATCTATACACACCAGGCAAGGAATGAATGTGTGAATACGTGCATACATGTATGTATGTATGTATGTATGTTTGAGGGTGTTTCAAAAAGTGTAGAAAATGAAATAAAAAGATAAGTTCATTCTGACAGAGTGAAATTTGAAATCCTTGCATATAAGGGAGTCTTCAAAGAGTTCATGGGAAATGTATACTATGAAAAAACCACATCAGTATAAAAATTTCTCTGCACCAAAATAAAAATACATCTTTTAATTCCATTTTCTATGAACTTGTTGAAATATGTATGTGTATACACGTGTGTACATTTTTATATTCTCACACCTTCCAAAAGAGTAGTATTACCATTTTCCAGATAGAAAAACTGAGGGACTTGGAACAAGACAAGAGCTCAAACGCAGTAGAGGCCAGATCTACACAGTTCTGTGAAGCTTCAACATTTGCTCTGTTTTTAGCCCAGTGAGACAGGATTCCTTTGTGTATCATGAGATGAAAAGTGGTATTTTCCCATCTCTGGATGTATCATTAACCTCAATTTAGAAAACATATGTCCAGAATCAATTTGTTGGCAGTACTTGATGGAATTTTGTTCTGACGGGGTCAGCATTGTGGCTCAGCAGGCTAAAGCACTGTCTGCAACACCAGCATCCCATATGGGTGCAGGTTAGAGTCTGGGGTGCCTCACTTTTGGTACGGAAGTATCCCTGCTAATGCACGTTGGAAAGCAGAGGAAGTTGACCCAAGGTTTTGGGCCCCTGCATTCATGTGGAAGATCCAGATGGAGTTCCAGTCTCCTAGTTTGGGCCTGGCCCCGCCCCAGCCATTACATTCATTTGGGGAGTGAACCAGAGGATGGAAGATGCCTCTCCTTTGTCTTTCCCTCTGTAATTCTGCCTTTAATATAATTAAAATAAAAACAGAAATGTTCTGAAAGTTTGTAGGATCAAATATATGGGAAATTGCACATAATTAATACTGTATGCTTGTGCATCTTGATTTTTAAAACAAAAAGGTGGCTTCTGGAGCAAAATTCCAATCCAAATTTAAGCATTTCCCACTCTAGTTCACCATCTTCAAATGTATCAAATATTTGCCACTGAGTTCAATCTCTACTTGCTGTCTTCACTTAAGACTAGTGTTTCACTTTTTTTTTTTCTTGAGACTTATTTATTTATTTGAAAGTCAGAGAAAGGGAGAGACAGAGAGAGATACACAGATCTTCCATCCACTAGTTCACTCCCCAAATGGCTGCAATGGCCAGTGTTGGTCCAGGTCAAAGCCAGGATCCAGGAGTTTCATCCAGGTCTGCCACGTGGGCAGCAGAGCCCCAAGCACCTTGGTTGTCCTCCACTTCCTTTACCGGGCCAGCAACAGGGAGCTGGATTGGAAGTTAAGCAGCTGGGACTTGAACCGGTGCCTATAAGAAACGCTATATGACAGCAGCCCTACCTACTATACCACAATGCCAGTTACTCACTTGGTCTTAAGTAAAACATATTTCTCATCAAAACCTTAACTCTTTAGTCACATACTGCTTCTCCTGAAGCCCCAAAATATAGTTCTGGGATATCTTAAATGACTTCCTGAAGGATGGATCTACATGTGGTATTTAAGGGAAGGCTTTCAAAATGGTTTCTCCTGTGACACCCCTGACGGGCCTGCACAGGATCTTTCCAACAGCAACACCACAATGTAAATCACATGTTTAGACAACTCTAAATAGCAGCCCAAACAAAGCACTTCCCGGGATGCCACTGTAGTGTAGCCAGTTAAACCAATGCATGTGGCAACAGCGTTCCATGTGAGCGCTGGTTCCAGTGCCAGTTATTCCATTTCCAATCCAGCTCCTTGCTAATGCACCTGGGAAAGCAGTGGAAGATGGCCCACGTGTCTGGGTTCCTTACAACAAGCTCCTGGCTCCTTGCTTTGGCCGGGCCCAGCGTTGGCCAATCCAGCAATCTGGGGAGTGAATCAGTGGATAGAAGATCTCTCTCCATCTCTCCCTCTAACTCTGAATTTCAAATAAATAAATAAAGCTTGAAGAAGAAAAAATATTCAAGAGAATTGATACAAAAACAAACAAAAAGCACTTCCAAATTAGGACACAGTGTTTGAATTCCAAAAGAAGAAAAGCCACTAGGATGGGATGTAGAAATTACGGTAGCAATTCTCAAGGTTCAATTAACAGGAAGGTGAAAAGCTAAAGTTCTGTCTCACTACAGAACTTCCCAAGAGAATATAAAGCACTTATTTAAATGGTTAGGCATGTGCTCCTTTGGCACCACATATACTACATGGCTAGGCACAGAAACCAGAAATCACTTCTGTGTATCTTTTATCTGCAAATGGTCACTGAATCTTTCAAAATAGCTTCTTAGAAGGCTGTTCCTCAGGAAGCCGAAGTTGTTTGTTGGTGAGACCAACAAAGCACCTTTAAAATTATGGTGATTACACAGCAAATTATTCCAGAGGGTAATGCATGATGGTGCAGGATGATTCCTTTTGTAAGGTTAACTCCCAAAGGCCAAGCATCAGGGTTCAAAGCATCCATACTGTGACCCTGGCGGCGCTCCCGCTCCCGGAGCTGGATGTCAGCTCAACGAATCCTCTGAAGAAACCAGATGGAATGTAAACCAGAAAACCCAGGCCAACATTTTTTTGTTTTGTTTTGTTAACAAGCTTTTTGACTTTTAACTTAAGAAGCAGGCATGTAGTTTATACTTTAATAAAAGTCAATGAAAAGCTTCAATTATAATCAAACAAATCTACATACCTAAAAGGTTAGTTTTCTATTTTAAAACCCACAAGCAAAGTAAAGACAACAATAATATGTGGATATTCCAAAATATTTGTGGAAAATGAAATTAAGAGGGAAGTTTATTCTGGTGTAAAAATATTGAAATCCACGCACAGACTTTTTTTTCATAATATGCATTTTCTATGAACTTTTGAAGATATCTAGTATGCATGGATTTAAAAATTTTTGCACTGAAATGCATTTATCTTTTAATTCCATTTTCCACAAACCTTTCCAAACATCCTTGTATGTCTAAGGTCCTTAAGCAGCAAATATTTGAGAGTTGAAGTCAAGCAAATCCTGTCATTTTTATTGGAGGGATGGAGAATTTGTGTTTATCTATGGATTATTGTCAGAGTTGCAGAGGCAGGTGCCCAAATATCTCTCCTCTGTATGTAAGTACCTTTCAGTTCATGTTGGAATCATCTAATGCTTTTTAATAGAGTACTCTATTGTCAAAATGGAAAAGAACTTGTTCATTATTATATCCTAACACATAACTTCAAAGAGTAGCCATTTAACTACTATTTGTCAAATGAATGAGAGAAGCTTGAATGGATAAAAGGAGTATAATCTCAAGGAAAATTTTCAACGATGTCAAAATAATGGAAATAATGGCATATGGAGGGGAAGAGCTAAGAATGTCAGTTGAAGATTCAAATCTCATCTAAGGAGCTGAAGTCATTTACAAGGATAGTACAGCAATTTGTTAATCTGAATGAGATTTAAAAATGTGAAGTCAAGGGTAGGCGTCTGGCCTGGAGGTTAGGACACTGGATAGAGCACTCACATCCCACAAGGAAGTACTGGGTTCAACACTCAGCTCCAGCTCCTGACTTGAGCTTCCTACTTCTGTAGAGTCTGGGAGGTGGCGATGAAGGCTCAAGTAACTGCATTCCTGAAACCCAATGGGAAACCTGGATTGCTGGTCCCTGCTTTGGTCTACTCTCAGATAGATGGGGAGTTAAACAGTAGCTGGGAGTATTCATTCTCTCTTCCATTCTTTCTCTCAAATTAAAAAAAAAAAAAAAATGAAGACAGAAATATAATAAATATAATTTAATCACATGCTGTCTATCTAATCTATCTTCTAGAATTTGGTGCTTCATTTTCTCCATCAAAATTCAGCTCCTTCATTGCTTCAACTCTTTTTTGAGTTCACTCCACCTTTATTCTATTGTGATTTATTTGCCTTAAACAGTCAGTAGCTCCATGGGCTCTCAGAAGTAAATTCTATCTCATTTTTACCCACATATCTTGGTGTGGTAGATACCTCACCTGCTAACTTTTCAGACTCAAATCAGTGGTAATTTCCTCTAGGAAGCCTCCCTTTCCAGCTGCTCACTATTTTGTTCCTTAGATTGTCACATAGCTTGACACATTCACTAACAGAATGAATCCCATTCCATCTTGACAAAGCCAGTTTTGATAGCCTGCTTGGTGTTTTTCCCTCCACCCTTTGATCCGTTAATTTATCTTCCAAAAAGTCATCAAAGCAATCTGTAATTTTCAAACTCAAGACTGCTCATCTATATCCCATGTTTTAATACACCAGTGACTCATAGATGAATAAATAAATTGAAATTCTTTAGCATGGCATTAACATGGCATGGCTATAGCAACCATTTAACTTACCACAATTTCTCCAATTTTACTCTCTGTTCTCTTTCCCAATCTTGAATCCTATTCTCAATTCAAAAATGGTACAGTTTCCCCAAACTCAAGACAAGGTTTCAAGTTTCAGCATTCTTTCATATTGTCCTGCCTTGTGGAATACTCTACTTTTTGCATCTATTTTTTTCTTATCTGGATTTAGCTCAAGTGACATCTAATTATAAAACAGCTCCTAATTTCATCCCTACCTTGCATTCTTCTCTGTTCTGTCTGTGCATGCCTGTATATAACATATTACCTATGTCATTTGATATACTCATCCATTTAACATCTATCTCCCTCATATGCTCTCAGTAGCTGTCAGATAAATGAATCAGCAAATGAATTTATATTAGGGAGACTTTTTAAGCGTTTCTACAGCTATGTAAAGAAGCATTTCAATATCTTTTACCTTAAAAAATACTAAAAATCTTCATGGAATTGGAAGAATTACAAACAAAATGCCAATAATCCCCTGTAACCTTTACATTGATTCAGCACGCACCTTCAGTTGTAGCACATAAGAAGGATCTCAGATTATCCCGTTGTCAAAAGTTCTTTGTTAATCATGACATTGTTCAGAAAAATAACAGATACCCAAAAGGTTTACAAATTCTAGGACTATACTCAATGGTAGCACTCAAAAATGAACTCAGATACAAAATATTAAGAAACCATTTGTATTAAGGAGTGAGTCCTGATTTGCCCCCTACTGGTAGTCAGCACAATCATTAAGAGAAATGGGAGAGATTTAAAAAAAAATCGTAACACTTAAGGATTGCCTTCAAAGTACCCTTCTTTAACTTCTTCAAAGAGACCATTCTCACATCAGAGTAGATTTATTTACATGACTTTAAACATTACAATTCATATTTAATAACAGAAAATGTAAAATGAGAATGAGGGGACTCCTGAACATATCAATACAACAGAAGATGGCAGCACAGCACGACACCAAGCCTACCTTTCTGTATCAGAGGCAGTGCCTTTTCTAGTCTGTTTTTGGATGCTAGATCTTTCAGACTTTCTGGAGTGCCTGTGGAATGAAATGTTAAAGAAACACAAAATATATGATGAATAAAGCTACATTAACATCATACAATGATAAAAACAGACAGACACATGAAAATGGAAACTATAGTGCCTAGATAGTTTAATCAATCAGCGTTTTTCAAAATAAAAATAAAAATAAAAATAAATTGGTGCTGTATGGAAGACACAAGTTGCCCAACAGGAAACACAAGGAGCTGATGTGGACAGGGTCTCTGCAACTACAATCTAACACTGGTTCCTGCTGGGCAACTCTACCCCTCCTGATGAGTACACAGATTCAACGGTGAAATGTAATGATGATTAATTTGGTGATGCCATGGCCCAGGTGCTGAAAGACCAGAAAGAGGTGAAGTAGTCTCTACATTTGCAAGTTGAAACTTGGTGCTACAAAGGTTTTTGATTGTTTTTATGCTACAAAAAATTAAGAAGAAAAATGCTATAGCGAAACACATTAGACAGAAGTGAAAGTTTTCAATTATTAAAAACATTTTAAAAATTATCATACAGATGCTTTTGTAATCATGTAGCATTTTTAAAAGCTAATCACATCACAAATTGAGGAATTACTGAAATCCCAAATTTACTCTCTAAAATCATATGTAGATATTTAATATATTCAATCTTTGGAACTATAAATGCATCTTCTCATAAGGTAAAAAATAAAATACTGTTTATATAGAGAATTTTCTCTTCTCTGTGGCAGCTTACATGTACCTATCTAGCCTAAATGTTGAATTACTGTGTATTTTTTAAATAAATTTTACTTTTTATATTTAAGATATACAATATGATGTTGTAAGATACATATATATACATATGAAATATTCTTACAGTAAAAATATGGTCAAATTAATACATTTATCAGCTCACAGAGTTACACACAGAATACATTTGATTTATTTTTTTTTATTTTATTATTATTATTTTTTTTTTGACAGGCAGAGTGGACAGTGAGAGAGAGAGACAGAGAGAAAGGTCTTCCTTTGCCGTTGGTTCACCCTCCAGTGGCCGCCAAGGCCGGTGCGCCGTGGCCAGCGCACCACGCTGAGCCGATGGCAGGAGCCAGGTACTTATCCTGGTCTCCCACAGGGTGCCGGGCCCAAGTACTTGGGCCATCCTCCACTGCACTTCCCGGGCCATAGCAGAGAGCTGGCCTGGAAGAGGGGCAACCGGGACAGAATCCAGCGCCCTGACCGGGACTAGAACCCGGTGTGCCGGCGCTGCAAGGCGGAGGATTAGCCTAGTGAGCCGTGGCGCCGGCCTAGAATATATTTGAAATAATGTAAAACATTGTGAAGAAACTTATGTATACTAAAATAGAGAAGAATATATATTCTAATATTAATATTGAGTTTCTAAAACTTATGTTTTTTCTTCCTGTTATTCCTTCCTTCCACAATGTTAAGACCAGTGTTTATCTTATTGTTAGACATCCTAATTAAGTGGCTACTTTATGTCTAGTCATGCGAGATACTAGGAATACACAGCAAAGCACAAAGACTGCTTTCACAGGGTGTTTAATGTATGAGGCTCTTCATGTTGTCTCATCTTTTCTACTTTTGCCAGAAACTGGTTCACACTGCTTTATCCCTCTAGTTCAGAAGGTCAGCTATGTGGTCTTCAGGCTCCAGTTAATCTGGCACTGCACCCCTGACATAAAAAATGCAATGGGAGGAGGGAGACGTCCCTCACCATGCTCTTACTAATTGGAAAATACTCAAAATATTGAAGCACAACTCTATGTCTGGTGCTGAGAAAGGTACTGATGTATTTAGTCTTAATAATAACCATTTATAAAGGGCCTTCTTAGACATGAGGAGACAGTCTCAAGGCAAGGTCATTCAGTCAGAAAGTGGCAAAGAAAGGACTAGAATATAAATCCATGGGACCAGCACTGTGGCTCAGTGCCAGCCTAAAGCGCTGGCAGCCCATATGGGCACCAGTTCGAGACCCCGCTGCTCCTCCTCCGACCCAGCTCTCTGCTATGGCCTGGGAAAACAGTGGCAGTGGAAGATGGCCCAAGTCCTTGGGCTCCTGTATCTACGTGGGAGACCTGGAGGAAGCTCCTGGCTCCTGGCTTCGGATCGGAACAGCTCTGGCTGTTGTGGCCAATTGGGGAACCATCGGATGGGAGACCCGTTCCCCCGCCCGCCACCCCGCGCCTCTCCTCTCTGTGTAACTCTGACTTGCAAATAAATCTTTAAAAAAAAAAAAGAATATAGATTTACTTGGCTCCTAAGCTGCTTCTGCCATATACTGTCCAGCAAAGAGAGTGGAAGACGTAAACTGACACAGGCCCTATGGGTACATATTTGTCCAAGAAGGGAAGAAACCATGAAATCAGGTATAGGCCTGGGAAATACCAATAGATGAATCTCTCTGATATCAAGGCTCTTATTCACTTTATTGCTTGTAAGGTCAGTTGAGAGGCGCATAGCACATGCCTGAAATCAATGGGGGATGGTAGTTCTGGTTGTTGTGAAGGGAATTTGTTACTGAAGTTTAAGATGGAAGGCCAAAGCATGGCGGAAGAGCATAAGGGAAGGAGGAAACAGGCAGGGTATGTAGGTCCTCAGGCCCAGGAGTTCTCTGAAGTTATGATAACAAGTACTGTATCATGATAGGGAATTTATGTTCAATCTCAGTGGTTTCCAGCACAATTTCATTGGAGAACTAATGTTGCTCATCTTCAGCAGAGAGAGAGCAGATGAAAGGACACAATTTCAGGATGACCCTCAACATTCAACATCACTAGGAGTTTTCATTCAGTCATTTATTTCATAATAAGTGCTGAATGTGTATATGTGCCAGGCAGTGTTCCAGGGATATGGTATATGTCTATGAGGATATCTGCCTGCAAGGAATTTATGTTTTATTGGTGGAAAGCAATCAATAAATAACAAAAAGAATCTAAAACAATTACAATATATTGTATGGGAGAAAATGATACATGATAACCACCAGTAACAAATCAAGACAAAGGAGATCCAAAGTATGGGTTACACAGGAGTTTGGTAGCAGGTGCCGATGTACTTTTTAGTTGGGTAGTCCGTGAAGGATTGATTGAAACAGTGAAATTTTCCAGAGACTTAAGGTTAGGGAGTTAATCTTACAAACTAATATATCTAGGGAATGCAGATCCAGGCAAAAGAAATGGAAAGTGCAAAGACATGAAGGCAGGTACTTGTTGGGTACAATAAAGGAATAGTAAGGAAGCCAGCACAAAAGGAGTTAAGAGAAATGAGTCAGATTAGAAGTGATTAAAAGAGAAGGGAGAGAGATTGTGTAGAACCTGGTAGGCTTTTGTAGAAACTTTCTACTTCTGCACAACAAAAGGCTCATAAGTATCTTTTAGAACTTACCTTCTTTTCTTCCTATCTCTGGTAATTTCTACTAATTTTTCTAGATACAACTGAGATTTCATTTCAACTATGAAACTTCCAAATTCTTGTTCATCTCAATCTTAAAACATAATGAATTCATATGCTAGGTTATCAAGGTGACTGACAATGGTGATGGTGAAAATGATGATGACACTAATAATATCTAATATTTACTAAGCACTTTCTCTGTGTTAGCATGACCACTTCTACTTGCATTGTCGTTTAATTCTCTTATCAATTGAAAGTATTTTATTTAATAAAAATTATTATCTTTAATAAGAATAAGGAGATTGAGACAGAGAAACTAAGTAAGTTGCATTAACTCATATCCTCAATAACTGACAAACCTGGAGATCAACTAAGAGTCTGTAGTCTCAGTAGCAGTAACCATATCACATCTCCTGCACAAATGACACTGGAGCTAGTAACTAAAAGCATGGGGTCTGGAGTCAGACTGAATCTAATCTGTTGGTTTATTGGTTAGCTAGGTAACAAGTTGCTTACTATGCAACAGTTTTCTATTTTACCTGCTAAGTGGTAATAATAACACAACCACTCCACATGTTTGCTAATTCTATTACAAAATTTCTATTTGCACTGTAGCATTTGTAGTTTTGTAGTATTGCATAGAACCTGCATTTGTGGTAGTTCTAGCATCATTTAAAAGTAGAAAAAGGAACTGTTATATTGTTTAAACTGATAAAAATATTTGACAACAAAGATTTTTATTTATCTGTAAGAGCATCAGACTCAGTGTAAATGCTCCATTACTGAACAATACCCATGCAGAGACTTATCTACCTTATTTATTCATTATATTTACTCACAGAAGTACAGTATTCCATGACTGGTATCTTCAAGTTAATTCCAGGATTTTTTATTAAGTTTTAAAAAATGATTAACATGTAAATTTTGCATACTTTCGGGAGGTTCTGTACAATATTTCCCCAACAGATGAGTGTAAACTGATCAAGACAGGCAATAAGATTTCCAGTTCCTCAATCTTTCTTTGAGTTTGGAGCCTACCAGCCCCACCCTTCTGATTCTTAAATACAGTATATATTATGTGAACTACATCCACATCACTGTGCTGTGGCACACTAGAATTGATTACCACTGTTTGACTGTATTTACTTGTCATCTCCTAAATATTCCTACAATAGACAGACCTTTATAACTCTTCTCATCACTTAAAAGAACCCTCAAATAGGGTTAAAATCATGTATACTTTATTGTAGCAGCTAAGTATAAAGCCAGAATAGGGAAAAAATTTAAAAGTCATTTAAATATCATTTCCACTCTGATGAATCCTTAATCCTAATTATAAATATATTATACAGCTATCTTTTTAATATAGGCTTGCCATATGTTAAAAAGGGAAAACTCAAACAAATCCATCTATATATATATGTGCTATACTATTAAAACTATTAATTGTATATTCACAAAATGAATATTAGTGAAACTGAACCACCTTGTACATTACACTACATTTTCTAAGTCCTTTGTGTTCCAGAACTGCATCTGTTTGAGTTATCACTGTAATATCAATGCCTACAATGTATTCAGTTCCCAGTATTACTTGCTGAGTGGTTGACTA